TATCACATTCTAATCATAACTTGCGTTTAAAATTTGCTACAGTGAAATTTGAAATTTAAGAATAAGTGAAAAAAAAAATTTATTATAAAATCGTAAATATTATGATAAAACTATGGCAGTAGTGCATCACTTTTAAGTAAAATAGTTTCGTTTTAAACTTAATAATTTAATTAAATTTAATTTTAATTTAATTACATTAAATAGTATTATAATATGCAATAATGTGCAATAAATAACATTATTTATGTATAATCTATTTATTATTATATTTTTTTCTAATTTGAGCATTTTCAACGTAAATACAAAATTTAAAAATTAATATAACTGAAAAACTGTAATGGCTAAAATATTAGAAAAACGGGAACAGCTAAAAGTACTAAAACATATTAAACCAATCATAAATGTTATCGCACTCTGAAAATTTTTACGTATTCTGAAAACTATCGAAAAAAAGTGTGACAACCTCAGTATTCACGACTGTATGTATGCATATTTTGCAGCATTTGATCTGATCAGCTCATAATGACCATAAATTGATCTGTTTTAATTATACTGTCTCGTATATTATATTTCTTATTTAGAAAGAAATAAAAAAAAAGAAAAGAATACAAAATTGCGGCTTGTTGACAACCGATGCACCAGCACATGAGGGCACTGTTCGGCGGTGAAAAAAAATTACTGTTCAAAAATTGCTGCAGATCGCAATTTTTGAACAATAATTTTTATTTCCAATAGTAATTTTTATTTTCTTGTTGTGCCTTGAGAATGAGTTGATAAACGAAGTGGATATTAGTGAAATAGTAAAGCAAGATTTTATAATTGATATTTGTCTAATTACCCTCCCCCCCTTCCCCATTTTCTTTGGTTTAGGAAATTCGTGTTATATTTATCCTTTTTAAGCGAATTTCTAATTATCATTTTTATACTATAATTAAAAATGTCTATCGCTCCTCGTTTGGCACAGAGAACTCCTTGTCTAGCATATGTTAAAAGTATTAACTTCAAATGCAATTATCTTTTGAACATGCTTGATTACTCCCCCCTCAAAATGATACGTTTATGTATAGAAAATATCATTATTTGCAAATAGTAAAAGCTTCAAACAAATCTTAAGAAAGTTCATTTTGTAATACAACCATAAAAAAAAACTCAAGAATTTAAATAATGTTTTTAAGATCTCATGCAATCATAATATAAATTGTATCGTATCATTAATAAATACAAATGAATTTGCGAATCATCAGTTTGCGCTTTGATTATCTCGAATATACTATTAAAATCCATTTTGTATTCAGGATATTTAAATATATTTCATTTTTCTGAAGGAGCATTGTCATGACTAATCGTTTAAGTGTAAAATGGAAATTCAAATTATATAAGACATTCTATGATCGCACAAAGGTAATGAGTTTCTTCTTTAAAACAGATAATATGTATACGTGCAAAATTACCATTGTAAAATCAACAACAGGATTGTTTATGTAGTTTAAAATATACAGTTATTACATAACATATGATTTTATTATAATTACATTGGTATAAGGTACAATAAGAAGAACGATCCGCTGGGCAACAATGAATAGATGTGGTCGACAATGATCATCCGTATTCTTTATCGATAATTACCTTTACAAATGTCGCAAATGTCACTTATGCAATCATCAGCAAATGAGTGTGTATCTTCATATACACGTACAATACATATGTGATATATGTGTATGTGTGTGATGATCCATGTTGGACCGAGGAAAAGCTTGTTGCTTAGGTTAAGGAAACTATATCAATAAATTAATTAACGTTCGTAAATATACAGTCGTGTTATATAAACTATAAAGAAAGAAATAAAAATAGATATGTAGTTTTAATACAGTTTGGTAAATGTGTAGCATAAAGGCACTTGAATAATCGTCTTATTCTGTTGTCATCTTTTATATCTAATTTTCCCCTATTTCTCTCTCTTTCTTTCCTCTCTCTCTCTCTCCCCACTCTCTTTCTTCATCCTTCTCTTCTTTTTCTCTTCTTTTCTCGCGTTTTTTAATGTTGTAATATAATGTAATAAAGTATTATTGTGTCCATTGAGAAGGAGACAAAGAAGAGATAAAGAAGAATCATGATGAAGAATGAATGTGATTGGTGGATGAACATGATTGATTCTGGACACATGTCTTTAAAAGCACTTGCGGTGGACGATGCCAGGACCAGATTCGTCGTACTCCTGTTTGGAAATCCACATCTGTTGAAACGTGGACAGGGAAGCCAGAATGGAACCACCGATCCATACAGAGTACTTCCTCTCGGGGGGAGCGATAATCTTGATCTTGATGGTTGAGGGCGCAAGGGCGGTGATTTCCTTCTGCATACGATCGGCGATACCGGGGTACATGGTGGTACCACCAGAAAGGACAGTGTTAGCATAAAGATCCTTGCGGATATCAACGTCGCACTTCATGATAGAGTTGTAGACGGTCTCGTGAATACCACAGGATTCCATACCTAAGAAGGAAGGCTGGAAAAGAGCTTCAGGACAACGGAATCTCTCGTTACCAATGGTAATGACCTGACCATCAGGTAACTCGTAGCTTTTCTCAAGGGAGGTACTAGCGGCAGCGGTGGCCATTTCTTGTTCGAAATCCAGAGCGACATAGCAGAGCTTTTCTTTGATGTCGCGGACGATTTCTCGCTCAGCCGTAGTAGTGAAGCTATAGCCTCTTTCGGTGAGGATCTTCATGAGGTAATCAGTAAGATCACGACCAGCCAAGTCCAGACGCAGGATAGCATGGGGCAGAGCGTAACCTTCCTAGATAGGTACGGGGTGGGAGGCGACGGCACCGCTGTGTGCGA